TTTTTTTTAATTACTATTTATTTGTTGAAATAATAAAAAGTTAGGCAACAAGTGAGAAAATAAAATGAAAAAATGAAATTCGTGAAAAAGAAAACGAGCGCTTGTCGAATTTTGAAATCGTTTTATTTGCAATCTCATTTAATTTGTTTTAATTTTTTTTATTATTTTATTTTTATTTTTTGTAATTTATTTTGCTTACTTAATCAAACTAAAATTCAATTTTTCAATCAATGAGATTTTACACATTTATATTTATGTATATATATCTATATGTATATAAGATAAATGTGAGTACCGTTAATTTATTTATACACATCGAGATGAATTTAAAATATTACATTTTATACGAATGAATGTTATTGATTTGTTGTAAATACATACATACATACAATTTGAAATATTACATTAAATTGGTTGTATTATTTTCTGCTTAATACATGTGAATGTACATACAAATGTAGTACATACATACATTTTAAGTGCCATTTGCCTGCCCACAAAACAGTGAGATTTCTGTAGATGCTTACACATACATACATACATCCATTGTTGTTATTATACACATTTATAATGTTCTTGTTTTTGTACATAAATATGCAGCTGTCATACGATTTGTAATTTTCAACACTGACAAATACACACTAATTAAATTTGTTGCAATTGTTTTTTAAAATTGTCTCGCATTGACTTTTTTATTGCCTGAAATTTACATACACATACGCACACTCACACATATACAATTAGATATAGCGAATTTTCGCTTTTTGCTGTCATTCTAATAAATTTTATTTTATTTTTTTTTTATCATTTATCATACACCAAGATTGTGAACAGACATTAATTACACGCAGAAATATTAATTTTTTTTCTTTATTAGGTTTTTTATATTTTTTGTTTGGTAACTTTGCTTAGGACTACTGCATTAATTTTTAAATATTTTTTCATGCATTTTCTCTTAATAAATTTACGTTTTGATTTCGTTAAATATTAAAATCAATAAAACATTCGTATTTTTATATAACTGTACATATTCATCTATCACAGTCCACCAGTTTAAGATAAACATGAAAATACTGTCTATATACGTAGATACTTACATATAATTTGATTAATACTAATGGAAACTAAGTACATAAATACATACTAAATATATCGTCACCTCAGTGGAATATCGACCTATCTGGGTAGCCAGTTCGAAAACGCTATATCTCAGAAAACTTTTCAAGAATGCCCTATTTTAAAAAACTTTTCAAGAGCGTATTTTCGGAATTTTATTGAAAATCACCCTATCTCAGAATTTGGTTGAAGAACGCCCTATCTCAGAATTCGATTCAAAAACGCCCTATATCAGCTGAAAATATATTGAAAATGTGCTGAGATACAGCGTTTTTGAATCGGCAGCTGAGATAGGCGTTCTTCAACCAAATTATGAGGTAAGACGCCCTTGAAAAGTTTTTTGAGATAGAGGGTTTGCGAACTGGCTGCCAAGATAGGTCGATATTCCACTCAGCTGACAATATATTGAAAAATATCCTAATACGATGAGTATTTTTAGTAGGTTTCTTACAGGGACGTGAACCGGTTTTGAACCGAATCGGTTTTGTACCGGATGAACCGCTTTTTTCTACTAATTAACTGAACCACTAACCGAATCGAAACTTTCACACAAATATTTGATCCGAACAGAAAACCGAACGATTTTTTAAACTTTTAATGTTCGTTTCGACCAATTTTTAATAGAAAATTTTTTCTTTTGTAAAATATCCATGGTAACACCATATTTGGTTATCATCTGACTTTCTGTTGTAATTCCCGAACCGTTGAACCGACACAAACACGGTCGAAATTCAAAGACAACGTGTGTTGATGATGGAAGAGGGTTGCCTCCTGTTTAAAAAGTTAAATTCAAATTATTTTATAAGTTAAATGAGTTATTAAAATATGGGTATCAATAGAAGGTGGATTGAAAATTTAATATTTCTGAACTGTATTGAGCGGGGTTGCCACATGTTTGAAAATTAAAATTCAACTTAATTTATCAGTTAATTAAAATATGTATTCCACTGTCCGTTGAAGGAGAGTTAACAATTATTAAGCTTTAAAATACTTTTGAAGAGGGCTGCCACCTGTTTGAAAGGTCTAACTTAAATAACTAATTCAAAAAGGACATCAAAATATCGGAGCCAAACGAAGGAATGTTAAGAAAACTTTAGTTTGAACATTTGGAATGTTTGATGAGGGTTGCCACGTGTTTAGAAAGTTAAATTCAAATTATTCAATTTTATTCCGGAACTTTTTTAGGACGGTTGCAATTTGGCCGAACAATCAAATTCGAATTAGTTCATCCGTTTATTGAAATACATGTGTATCACAATGTCAGACGAAAGAGATTTAAGAAAATTTTAGCTTGGGAATACTTTTGAAAAGAAATTTTATAAATGAAAGTGAAAATAGAGATTAACCTGTAGATGTGTGATAAAGTTTTATTTTTATACCCGAGGGCACTTGTGCACAAGGGTATATTAATTTTGTTCACATAACGGTTGTTTGTAACAGCCAAAAGGAATCGAGATAGATATAGACAAATGTATACATATATGCTCCGAATGAATAGAGAAATCGATTAAGCCATGTCTGTCTGTCCGTCCGTCTGTCCGTCTGTCCGTCCGCCCGTGTACACGATAACTCGAGCACAAATTGAGATATCTCAACGAAATTTGGTATGTAGGTTTCTGTTAATCTAAGGTAGGTTGGTATTGAAAATGGGCGAAATCGGACAGTAACCACGCCCACTTCCCATATAACGGTAATTTCCCGAAATACGAAAACTGCGATATTTTAGTAACTACTGAAGATTATTCCCTCAAAATTGATATTTGTAATAATTTTCAGACGAAAAATAAGAATATTATAAATTTTTGGAAAATGGGCGTAGCCACGCCCACTTATGGTTACATGTGTATATCTTGGTAACCGCTGCACAGATTTCTTCCAAACTTGGCACAGTTGTTGGCCTTGATACAGCATACTAAATGGCCGAAAATTTAAAAAATCGGACAATAACCACGCCCACATCACATATAACGGTAATTTAGAGAAATACAAAATCTTCGATAAATCAGTAACTATTAACGCTAATTTATTCGAAATGGATGGTTGCAACAATTCTTTACCAAGAAATATGTTTATGGTAAAATTTTGGAAAATGGGCGTGGCACCGCCCACTTATGATCACGTATATGTATCTCACTAACCGTTCTAGCAATTTGTACCAAACTCGGTATGGTTATTGTGCTTGCCACATAAAAGTAAACCATTGAAAATTGTTGAAATCGAACTAAAATTACGGCCGCTTTTCATATAACGGTAAATTTCAGAAATGCTTGAAATTTCAATATTTTGAAATTTAAGGACGCTAGTTTACTTAAAATTTATACACGCCGGCTTACCATCTAGCGGTAGCTTTCGGAAAGGTGAAAAACATATATTTAATACTTGCGCCGGGTATTTAATGTTCGGCTCCGCCCCAACTTAGACTTTCTTACTTATTTTAATTAAGAACTTTTTTCCTCGATATAGGGTGATTTGAAATTTTGTGAAAATCGAAACATACATAACGCGAGACTACTCGTCTCTCAGAAACTGTTGTACGGCGTTTATGAAATATGACACTCGGGTCTGTTAAAACTCTGACTAACATTTGGAATATTAAAAAAAAAAAAAAACTGGAAATGTTGAACAGTGTAATTTAATGAATGAAAGCTGGGTACCTCTCCGCCTAACAAAACTCCATGTGAATTCAACAAATATTTTTTCTTTCCTCAAAACTGGATTCTAATAATAATTAAAATCTAAAATATAATTAAACAGTCACTTATTTACAATTGTGAAATGATATTAATTTTCTTTATACTAATTTTATATTAATCGACGAATATACATAAGATTTCATTAAAATCGTCACTTACGCGATAAATTTCTTATAAGTACCTATTTTTCACTACTAATTTTACATTAATAAAATTCTGCACGGCAAATTGTGCTGCTTATAATCGATAAATTAATTAGTATTGCTGAAAATACACGAAGCATATACATATTTTTTAGACAATTTACACATGTACCTATGTCATAATTTACAACTTTATAGAATACTATTTTAAGTTTGTTAAAAAAATTTACATTATTCTATATTTCAAGAGTAAATCCTAAAGTCGTTTGAAAACACGCGCACAGACACAAACGATTCGGCAAGTTACAAATTTTCGTATTTTTGGCTGATCTAGTGGTGGCTGGTTCTAAATCGCTAATTCATGTCAGTTATCTTGAAAGGGACATAGAGTCCAAGGAGCTTAATAATAATAGCAACTCATGCCTTGCCCAAAATCATGAGAAATATTTTAGCTTGATACTCGTATTTTTTGAAAGAAGTTTTAGAAAAATTTCATTTTCGTCATTCCACACAAAAATTTTCTTCAGCAAAACAAATGCATTTAGATTTACGGCTCACATGTACTCAAATTTACATACATATACATAGATAGATATACTAACACCTACATCGATGACTAACATAACGACTGCCGCTCCTTCTTGCGCCTCCTTTTCCTTATTTAGTTTTTACAAGTTTTATTTATTATCCACTAAGCTAACCATGAACAATTTTCGTTTTGTACTCAAAATGAATGTAAAATTGTGTAATCGGGGTGGTGGTGGTAGCCAACATTCGTCGATTTACATACCTACATACAGATATATCAGTTATTTCATGCCCCCAGCTACTAGATTTACACGAAATGGGGTAGCTGGTTTGTTTTCAATGTTCGGCTTTCGGCTTTGTGCTTGCCATTCCAATTTCAACTACATACCTATGTATGTACATGTGCATATGTATGTATTGTTGCAGCCCAAATTCGTTTGGTTGGCTGGTGGCAGGTTGTACGCTCACTTGCTTGCTTGCCTCCTCATTGCTATGCAAAATTTTCCACATTGAAATGGCATCATTTCAATATCGTCGGCAAGCCTGTATTCATTAATCGATTGCCAACAACAATGGAGTTGATATTGCCACTAGTCATGCCCATGCCCATGCCAACGCCCACGCCCACACCGACACCCACACTAAGGCCGCCCAGTGTGCCGAAGCCGCCGCTTGCGCCGACACCATGCGTCGGAGCAGCCGTTAGGGTTGCTGTTGCTATATTCAAATTGTTGCCACCGCCGCCAACAATACCATTGAGATGATGATGATGATGGTGGTGGTGATGATTTGAGCCACCGCCACCGCCACTGGCGCTACTGCTGCCACTGCTACTGCCGCCAAGCGCTAAGCTGCTTGCACCGCTACCGAATGCACTCAAACCGCTGCCACCACCGCCACAGCCGGCAGCCATGCCCATTGCAGTGAGACCCAAGCCCGCATGCACGCCACCACCGAGACTGCTACTACTACCGCCGCCGCCGCCGCCGCTGCCGCCAATGCCGCCAATGCCGCCGATGCTGCTGCTGCTGCCGCCACCACTGCCATTTATGCTACCACCGCTGCCTGCACTGCTATGACTGCTGCCAACTGAGGTGAGACAATGCAAGGTGGCAGCAGCATTGAGGGCAGCTGCACTACTGCTGCTACTGCCGCCACCGCTGCCACTACCACTGCTGAGACCGCTACTGAGACCGCTGCTGAGACCGCTGCTGAGCCCACCGCTGAGGCCGCCTCCAATGCCGACTCCACCTCCGCCACCCATCGAGCCAACGCCGCTAGCGGCGGCGACTGCATGCGCGGCATGGGCAGCATGGGCGCTGCTGCCGCTGACGATGGCGTTGCTCTCATATTAGAAGCCACCGCCGGACGATGATGGTCATGCATAGTGCGGATAGGAGCTGAGGTGGGGCGCAACATGCGACGGCGTCACATGGCCCATCGAGTGTGGCTGATAGAGATTCGTGGCCGGGTTGCCCCAATTGCCCCATGAAGCGGCCGATGGGAATATTGAAGCTGGAGAGGAAACAAAATAAGAGAAAAAGAGGGATTGTTAGAATTGCATGTCGTGCGAGGAAACTGAAAAAAAAATGGTAAAAAGTAACACAAAACAATCTCTGAGTTGTAAGAAAGAAAAAAAGCGTGAACAAAAGCTGTCAAAAGAAAAGGAAAGTAAAAGAAAAGCAAAGAATTGGCTAAAATACCTGATGACGACGTCATACCATGGTGGGGGCTCATGAATGAGCTCAGCTTGGCGCTATGATGATATGGTGTCATGAACAAGTCGCTCTGGTACTTGTAGGTGGGATCACTGGCGGCGGGTTGTGTGGCGGCGGCCAAGCCCTGGAAGTCGAACTTGTATGCATAGCGTTTGCCATGCACTTTGGTCATGATATTCTTGTCATAGTAATATCTGTGGAAATAAGCGAGAAGAAATATGGAAAATATTAATTTATGCATACATATCTGTGTATTGGAATTTTTCATGCTAAACTAAGACAGACGGCATATTAAATGTAGCAAACTAGATTTGGCAAACATAAAACCATAAAACCATAAAGTTAGGACATAATGAAAATTGTATGGCAAATTTGACGTTGGTTTAATTAATTCAAAATATTCGTCTCATAAATGGCTAAGTCAACGTTCAAGTTAATAAAAAAGTTATGCGTTGAAATCTGCTTCACACAAGCTATCTAAATAAGTAAAAAACGGAGCATAATTTCTGAAATCAATGATGTGCTGTTGGTGTAAAATAAGTCGCCTTTTAAGCTCATACTGTATATGTGTGAAGGAAACGGAAGATAGATATTGGTATGGTAAATTCAGCTGCTACCAGCGTAAGGGCTTTAGGGTACTGGAGAAAAATTCCAGTCAGCAACAGTGCCATCCTAAATAGACTACCATCTGATATAAAGCTTGAAACGACAGAGGCCGCGAATAGTATAAAGCCGGTTCAGAGATGGAATGCGAATTGGGTGCATGGTTTCTAATTGAGCAACTCAATATGAAGTTATCATCACAATTAGGGTATATAAAGCATAAAGTATGGACGACCGCTGTGGCTGAATGGTTAGAGATGCGAATTACCACACCGTAGGATTCCTGGTCCGACCAACATCTAAATGGAACCAGTTATTTCTACCAGCTGTCGCCCCCCGGCAGGCAATGGCAAACTCCTGAGTGCATTTCGACGGCTGAGTGGAAGATCGAGCCAACTCGGCTGCAATTAGTATCTTATATATATAGAATTTATTTTAAATGCTTATGCAAATTTTTAATTTTCGATTTAGACCTATAATTTAAACATTTAATATGTACATATGGGTCATTCCATACAATATTTACACCTCAATATTTTTTTTTTGGGGTGAAAAATATTTTTTACAATCTTTATCGAAAAAAAGAAGACACAAATTTTTTTATTTCGTCATGATATTGGAAAATAACTCACACTCTCATAGAAAGCCGAGGTAATTACGCACAGTTCGATACCTTAACTGATTTTCTCCGATAAATAGTTTATTATCTGCAAACAATTGAAAAAATATACTTTCCCGTGAGTTCACAATTTCGAGAATTTATTTTTCGAGATTTTCGAATATCATGACGAAATAAAAAAATTGGTGAATGTAAAAAAAAATATATTTCACCCCAAAAAAATATTGTATGGAATGACCCGTATGTATGTGTGCACTTCTAAATACATATGTATGTATATGAAAAAATCAATAATCAATCTAAAACATACATAAATTTTAAACGATTTTATGACAAACCATATTCGAGTCAAACGACTACACGATAAACCTGTAAATGGTAAGCAACCTGCTTCGTTTCTAGCCGCTACATTGCAAGGTCTGTGACCCTTCACATTTTGGCGCGCCTACATCTCTCTGTGGCAATAAAAACTGACTTCCAAAATAAAACGTGTCTATTTACATAACTGACCAGAACTAAATGTAAATGTTTGACAATAAAAAGTATAAAAAAATTTCAATTAGGAGCTTTATACCATAAACTGGAACGGTTGAGACGCGTGCAAAATGACAACGTTTTTTTTTACGTTTTCTCATCTTCCGAAAGCCGGTACTTCTGAAGTAACATAAATTCTTGCAAAAATTTACATAAACATAATTTCAAATAGGCATACGAAATTAGAAAAAGGCATAAATAGTAGGGTGGTGTACCAAACGTGTCTGCATGAAATTAAGTATCAACAGATTCGCTTCTATAAATTAAAAACATTTCTTCATCTTACTTCTAAAATTAATTTTCTACGTATAATATAAATTTACTATTGTCACTTTATGTAGTTATACCAGTTTGTCTATAGTTAGGACAATGCCTATCATACTGAGGTGCAGTGTTGCCAGAAAAAAATTTCGCTTACGCCTACGCATTGAAGCGCTACTTGGGGAATATCTGGTTTTTCGTACTTTACAAATTTCGATACAAACGCATATATATATGATATGATATGATATATTTATTAGGTTTTGTATTTTTGAAAATGTTTTGGTTGCAATTACACTGGGGAACAAATTCAGGTTAGCAAAAGTTAGGTCGATTCTGAGAGTGAGGGGTGAAAATAGAGGCTAAATTAGAAGACCCATATCGCGGCGTTTGTTTATGTTAGTTCGAATTTTTTTTTAATCGACCTTTGAACTTTGCAGTCAAATGCCGATTTTCAGCATATTGTTTATATGGTTTTTTGGCTATAACTCGTCGACTAATTGATATTTCTTCAATCTGTTAAAGCCAAATTATTGCTAGAGACCTGTGCAACAATTAAAATTAAAAAAAAAAAAATGATTTAGCAAATTTTTGTAGTGCTTATGAAGCAAAATGTTGGAAAATTTTTTTTTTCATGCTTCTTGAACATATTTTCCACAAAAATAAGTCTTTTTTGCTTTCTGTTTGATCAATAATATGCTTCTCAGTTTCTTCAATAAATTTCATTTGAAAAGAAAGCAATCATAATACAAAACTTGCCTTTTCCAGCTTAATATTAATTTACTTTTCATTTCTTATGTACCATTTTTTCAGTGTTGGTTTTGAAGAAACATTGAAAAAGAAATTATAAAAATATGGAAAAAAACATAATTTTGAAATGTTAGTTATGAAAAGTTTTAAGTAAAAAAATTAAATAAATTAAATTAATGATTTGGCCAGTTGCCGTTTAGCAGGCGGCTGTGGATCAACATCACTGCTCTCTCTAATATCTTGGTCATCGTCATCATCATCAGAAAGGTCGATAATTTCGTCCAACAGATATTCTGGAATTTCATCTTTGTCTTCCCCTTCCTCTTTTTCCTCGTCTTCCTCTTCTCCAAAGGTGTTTTTATACCACCAACAAATGGAGACTTTTAATTTTTTATTTATCTATCGATGGTTATCGCCATAATTACTCTCACATTATTATCGGAATAATTATCGATATCCATATAGAAATATATATTTATCGACGTAATTTAGGATTTGTTGGCGATAAATTTATTTAAATTATTTATTCGATATAGCTACGTATATATTACTGAGATACCTAGATATATACAATATATTTAAATATTTACCACGTTTATCCATAGTTTAGTCGAAACTTTTATTCACATATCCAAAATATTAATTTATATCTGAATTGGAATTATCACCAAAAACATTTATCGGTGTTTTTGAACATGCTTACTATAAATTTATCGATATATTTAAAAATACACATCTATTACTTCATTAATAATTCGACAGTAGTTTTGATTTATATATTGGCGATAACTTTAGTGACGTCAATACCTTTACTATCTAGATTACTACTAATTTTGTTTTTAACGAGATCACTATCCATACATATGTGTATTACTAAGCTGTGAATTTTTTAATACGATTTTTTATTTTTTTTTTTTGTTGGTGGTTTAATGGAAATTATGTTACATATACCGATAATATTTTTTTATTTCTATGAAAACTATAAAAAACATTAATCGATCCTTTTGACCTACCAATGATAAATTTATCGATATCATTTTCGATGTACATATTTACTAACCAGATGTGTATATCTTTAAATAATTCGTAACCCTTATCGATATTTTTATCTACATATCGATAATATTTTTTCGATATCATTAAAACTGTGATTCCTTATTGTGTATTTCCTCTAAGCGGGATTACACCATAAGTTATGCTGAAGTACTTTCACTGGTCATTACAAAATTGTAAGGCATGAAAATTTTAAGCCCACCAAGCATTGGTCACCATCTAAGTATGAAAAAAATCAAATAGCGCTCAAGTCAAGTTTAACCACTGAATAGGTCGCCATTTGTCGCAATGAAATTACCAAATTACAAAGTAGTAATTTAAATTGCACCAATTAAATACGACAATTCTTCTTACATTTATGTTCCGATAGCAAACAATGGAAGCGTACATATATCCATATGTATATGTATATACATATTTACCTGCATGTCCTTGCCATATACACGCTCCCTGTCATATGCATTTATATTCGTATTTATACTTGTAAAGACATATGTACATACATCCTACTTGTTGACCGTCTCATCTCATTCAGTGTAAGGCCTCATTCCTCCGCTTGTCTAACATTCTGTTTGTCCGATGACACTCGTCCTTTTGCCATTTTCGGCTTTATTTGTTTGACTTTTTGTGAAGTAATTAAGTCGCCGAGATTACTACTGTTCACACAATTACATACATTTATTTGCAAATGCACGCACACACATACACGCTCGCACACACACACACGCTTTCTCATTGTGTAAATATTATTTCTGCAAATACAAAATGTAATAAAATCGCCTTTAATTGCCAGAGGGTGTTGCAAGGCAATCATAGCGCGTCCAGTTGGAGGCGGCAAAGTAATGAAAAACAATTTTTCTTTTTCATTCACTTTCGGTCTTTAATACGAATTGTATTTGGCGTCAAGCAGAGTGTTTTGTTTGCGCTTAATGCAATTTAAAATTTTATATGAATTTTTGTGTAAATGCTATACATACACATGTATGTACACTAGGGTGATCCAAAAACAGTAAAGTCTCACCCCCTACGATTCTTCTATATCCAAAAAAGTATACTCCTATTTTTTATTTTGAAATCAAAAAATATTTAGAGGTCGCTCAAAGCGCTCAAAATTTTCCATGCAAAAAAAATCAATTTTTCGTAGAAATGGTATAGAATTCTTGAAAATCAACATTTTTCGATCGGAAGCCTTTGGTTCTCTTCAGGAGACTTTCAATAATAATACCCAATTGTTTATTTAACCATATTTTAATACTAACGATTTTTTATTGATCGCCCCATTGCATTTTTCGGGTTTTTTGTGGATTTTTGGCGGAGCTATAAATTATAGTTGCAATGAAAAAATGGTTAAATAAACAATTGGGTATTATTATT